CCCTGGACTTAGAATCTTTGAGTAAATGTATAAGCTCAACCACACGTGAGCACAAATGTTGAAAAGAAATCTATGTAGGTCTCCCCCTTTTCTCCCTCCCTCCTTTCCTCTATTTTTCCCTCTCTCTATATCTGGGAACCTTTCAGCAATTATAGGACAAAGAACTGTCTCTTCACACCTCCATACTCTTTTAAAAATAGATGAAAGAAAGCGTTCCGATGACATACAAGCCACTATCCTGTTCAACTTTAACTAAGAACAATATAACATCAACTCAGTTACTGCTATGATTTGAAGATGTGTGCCTCTCCAAAATTCACATGACTAACTCCCATCATGACAGCATAGGTTTAACATTCATAATCCAAATCCCATGTGCTCCCAAATGATATTTTGAGTGTCAATATCATTTCACAAGTGGAAGATTCCACATCTAGTTTCAGATGAGCATGCACGGTCCAGACGCAGGGGCACTGAAAGTGTTATATAAAATCACCTCCAAGTTGTGTGTGCTGGTGAGTATGAGACATACTGGCCATGATGTTTTCTATACATGCATGAATTTCATTTCAAGACAGAGTTCCATTTCCTGATATTTCATAAGATATATGCAGAAATTCCAAAATCCAGAAAGTGAGTCCAAAAATAGCAACTCTTCTGGCCCCAAACATTTCTGGTAAAAGGTTCTAAACCTGTAGTAAGAGGACTTTCAGGAAGTAATTACTTTGTGACCACTCTGCCCTCAGGAAAGCGGTCAACGCTCTTACAAAAGATGCTGAAAGGATGTCCTGCTCCTTTTTGACCTACCGCCTCTTCAATTACAGGAAGATGTTGCTGCAAGGTGCCATCCATGGGACAGACTCTCCATAACCCAAATGAACAGGTGTCACGTTCCAGAGCCGCAAGAAATACATGTCTGCTGTTTAGACAACAGCTCAGTCTGGGTAAATTGTTGCAGTTGCCTGAATCACCTAAGACAGTTACCTAAACGTTCTGTGCATGCAGTTAATACAATCATGCTAAGGGGCTGAAGACGTCAGTGGATTCCATGACAGTCCCCATGTCACAGCCGGGAAACTAAGCACAGAGAAGCAATTATACGGCTTCCCAGTGTTCCAGTTCTTAACTGCTAAGTTCCAGCGGATGGTTGACAAGGGCATGGGAGTATAGGGTGGTCAAATTTACCAAATGCAAGCTCAGCCCACTCTGCAATATTTGAACCTCAGATACAAAGTGAATAACATTTCATGCAAGTGATGGCATGAACTATTAGGAACATGCCTACACTGAAAAAACACATGTGTTGTTTACCTGGAATTTAAGTTCAGGTAAATCCCCTGCATTTAAACTGGCTCGGGCTTAGAGACAAGGCCTATGGGGCAAAGTCAATGGGAGTACAGTGGAGAAAATACCACAAAGAACCAAGACCCAGGAAATATGGCTTGAGTCCAACAACCTCACTAGACAGCCTACCTCCAGTTGACCTCTCTCGTAAAGGTCCAGGCCAACTCTCAGTATTGTCCCTCTGGACAACAGGATGCCAAGACCTGAACTTTTTACGGGATATAAACCTTGTTCAAACCACAGCCAGTGGAAAAATACAGGGATCTTATGGCACTACATTTTCCAATCTTTCTTTAAAAAAAAAAAATCCTGTCTTTTCTGAGCCTGGTTCATTAGGAAAACTTGATTGGAGGCCTAAGGAGACAAAAAATGAAAGGATGAGGATTGGGCCATTTATTTTTATGTTTATAGTTGACCTCCCCCCACCACAAATACTCTAATAAAAAGTATCAAAATAAATATCTAATACTTTGTATGTTTTCTAAGGCTAGGAGCAGGGCTGAGGGTAGGGGACAGAGAAGATACAGGCAGGCCACCCGCAATCACCAAAAGGAGTGGTGCCTCTAACTTCCCTGTAACCTTCAATCCTGCCTGGCCCCAATCCAGCCAGGAAGGCAATATCTAGCATTCGCTCATAAGACATATTAGAACACTTACTGAAAACACACTGGGACCACCGAGGAAAAATACTTTGGATGAGATCTCCTAGAATATTTTGGTAGCTTCTCTTTTTTTAACATTAGACGATGTCTGTTTTTGTGATTCAGATAAAGTCATCTGTATTCCCATAAAGCTTGACGTCACACAAGTGAGTCAGCAGAAGTCATCATTTTTCCCACACCTCCTATTTACTGAAAATCATCCTGGGCACAGGCACCCATTACATGAAGTGCTTTATGAGAAGAAGAGAATCTTGTCTTGACCTGATCCTGATGTTCACAATAAGGATAACTATGTAAAGATTTGGCACATTACAGGAAGAGAAAGATTCTAGCCCCATGGTTGGATTCAGCCAGATTTGCCAACTAAGACTTACATTTAAGGAGCCCTGGCTCCCTCACTTAATAGCTCTTAATCTTGTACAAGTCACTCAACCTTTCTGTCCTCTCATCTTTGATATGAACAATACTAGTAGCTGTCTCACAACGTGGTAAGGAATTAACGAGTTAGTCCACTACAGTGCTTTAAGCACAGTGCCTGGCCTATAGAAACATTCAGTGGCTATTGTTACTGTTGTAAGTGTTGGCCACTGAATCTGTACAATGTGTCCTCTCTGTTCTGACCCTGAGTCATATCCCTTTAAACAATTTAACTGCATCTTGGGTACCAGGAAGGCTGGCTGGCATAGCCACTGTGTAATTGACGCATGGTATATAAATTCGTATATAAGTGCATCTTGGTGCTCTTAAAAAATCGGTCCTCTAATTGCAATTGATACATTTCTTTTTAAAAACCTAAAGACTGCATGTATTTAAATATTTAAAATCATCTAGGCTAATTGCCGACAGAAAATACTTTGAACTGTCTCTTCATGAGCCTCTTTACCGATCAGTAATTAGAAATGGGTTTATTTTGAAAGAATTATCATCTCTTTGTCACCTAAATGATTGCTTACATTTTTCACACAAAACTAGACTTAAAATTAGATTGTTTTTAAGACAAAAACAATTCTCTGCCTTTAATAGTGCCATTTAAAATGCAAATTTTGTTGCAGACGAGGAGAACTGAAATTTTTATAGCATAAGAATAAATGGAATTCCGGAGTCACTATCATATAAATAGGTGTCCATCTGGCCAACCCTAGGCTTGCCAAATTTCTGCCTTCAATTGTTCCCCCAAGTTTAACAAGAGCTTAAGCAGTGCCCTCTTGTGGCTTACAGGGTCTGGAGTCTGGTCTACTTAACCTGTGGTCTCGTTATTCACCGCGTGTTTTGTTTCTGCATTATATATTTTAAATTTGCTGGAGGGATGGGGAAGGTAAACTACAGAGCGCTGAAATGAATGCGGTCGCTTGAGAGTACAGATGCAGCCAGTTCGTGTGAAGTCCCACTGTGTCGCTGACGTGGGGCTGCTACTGCTTTTCATTTGGGGACCGTGTTCGTCTACAAGACCAGAAGGAGTTTGCCCAGAACTACTCATTAAATGGATGGCTGCCTGCAATTGATTATTCTAACCACAAGGTGCTCAGGAATCATTACATGCAAGCTACCTGTCTTCAGCTGAAAAGCTTCAGGTCCCAAGGAATCCAGAATGAAGCCAGGCGTGATGGCACTCGCCTTTAAACCTAGCACTCGGGAGGAAGAGGCAGATGGGCTATAGAGAGAAACCCTACATTAAGAAAAAAAAAATACAGAATGAATGAAAGTTCTCTTTCATCTACTTTTAGCCCTTATTTCCTAGTAAACTGCACCACACTCTTTGAAATGCTACTTTTCTTTTCTTGGCTCCAGAAATATTTTTGGAGCAGTGATCAAGTACCATGACTTGTGCTGGACCCTGAAAATACAACAGCAATGAAAACTGACGCTGCTCTGTGCAGTCAACAGTGGGAAGACGGGCATGAAATGAGCAGTCAGTCGTGTTAATGGTGGATGTGGATGTCACTGGAAATGAAATTGACAGGGAGATTTTTGTGCAGAGAGCTACATGAGGGAGGTGACCTGAGAAGGAATTTACCAGATTAAGGCAGGGTGGGAAACAATTTCAAACATGAAAAACGAACTATACTGGAGTTAGGACTAGAGAAGGACGTGACTCTGCCGGGGAGCTGGAAGAACTCAGTGGAGCTGGAGAGGGTTGGCAGACTGTAGATTTAAACCAGGTCAGCATGGGCAATGGGGCCCATCGGGCAAAAGTGCTTGTTAAGCAAACCCAAACTCTATTGGCAGAACCCAACACACACACACACACACACACACACACACACACACACACACACACACACACACATATACACACGGGGTGGGGGGTGTCATGCAGGGGCTAGGCTCTGTAGATCACATGTGGGCTTTGAGCATTGTCGTAAAGGCAGTGGGAACTCATGAAAATGAGTTCACGGCTAACACAATCGAACCTTCTGTCGCATGGCGAACGAAGACAGGATTGAAGGGAAACAGTTATGGCAATGCAGATGCACATCCAAAGGCAGTAGCAGTGTTCTAGCAAGAACCACTGCTGGCTAGACCCTAGTGGGGGAGGGGAGTGGGGGGGTGGCATGTTTGAGGAGGTGGCAGGAGGAGGCAGGACTCCAGATATATTTAAAGATGATGCTGGTGAGATTTGACGGTGAAATTTAAAAAGGTCGGGGGTGGTAAACACCATGCCACAAAACACATAAGCATTCTACAATTATATGCATCTCACAAATGATACTGAATTCATAAAAGACAGATTTAGACAGGGGAGAAAAAAAACTAACTCCAAAAAACTGCATCCCCGAAGCTACCTTCACTCTGACCTCCCCTCTCTGAAGCTCCTGGGGCCCAGCAAGGGGGCTTATTTTGTACCAGTGGCTTTCCAAAGTCAGGGCAAGAGAATCTTCTGGAATAACCGAAAGCCCATTATTTCAGGAGAAAAAGACAGGCAACCAATGCAGACGTTTCTGCTCAGCATGGTGGCTATTCAAGGAACAGCTTAGGAACTGAGCAGAACATAGAGACATTTCCAACATTATATTCAACAGATTAAGAGAAGTAAAAAAAGAGAATTCACACATTTTCCGGTAAAGATGGAAGGGTGTGAATATACATTGAAATTTCTTAGGAGACACACAAACCATGCGAAATGTTCCTTTGAATTCCCTGCTTACTCCATGCCCTATGCATCACCCATATTTGGGTCACTCGTATGAAATGGAAATAGATCTTTCTGGCCTCAAAGCAGAAGGAATCATCTAGGGTGCAGAACAAGTGCCAGCCTTTTAAATTGTCTGAGAGTTAAAATTAGTTCGCATGAGGCACCTCAATCTTTCAGCTGAGGGAAACATAATTGAATGTGGGAGGCCAGCTGAGGACTTGGCTAGAGAATTTTGCATAGAAGTGTCTGGGAGGACAAATGGAGAAAACCTAATTTCCATTTACATAGGAAACAAATACAGGGAGGAGAATGGGGAGTTGAAAATGTCCTTTGGTGGCTTAATTTAGTAATTCATTTCAAAGCAGACGGGGAGACAGTGTCTAACAAAACTGTTTCATTTCTTCCAAGGCTTCCAGAAGTCTTTATCACCTCAAGCCCACAAGGAGGAAAAATCCTTTTCATTAGGGAGAAAATAAATGTTCTTCTGTCGGCTTTAGATGCGCTGTTGAGTTTATGTGCTCAGTCTGGGGTCCATTTGTCTCATTCCTCCATTTCGGTCTCTAGGAAGAAAACAGAAGCAAGAATGTAAGCTGGGGCAGGGGGAATAACTCAGCTGGTAAAGGTCTTGCTGCACAGACATGAGGACTGGAGTTTAGATCACCCACACCCATGTAAAAAGCCAGGTACAATGGTGTGTGTGTGTGTGTGTGTGTGTGTGTGTGTGTGTGTGTGTGTGTGTAGTCCCAGTGATGGGGAGGTGGAGACAGGCCAAACCCTAGAGCTCACTGGAAAACCAGGCTATCTAAATCAGTGGGTTCCAGAGAGATCTAGGAAAGTACCCAACGTTGGCCTTGGCCTCCACATGAACGTGCGTACACACATGCACACACACGCGCACGCACGCACACACACAGAGATTTTAAAAATGTACAGACTTCACTAGAGACCCACCTTTCCCTTTGAACAGTTCTGTCCCTATTCCTCCTCTGAGTATGAATCCTGAGTATTCACTGATGACGTTCCTGCCTGCTCACAGCCATCTCAGAGCCTGCTTCCCAGGGGATACATTAGCATCGTCAGACCGCGTGATCTCGTGTCTATTTTCCTGGACTGAGAGGGGAAGAGTCTTAGCTCAGATGCCTAGTTATCCTTGATCTTCCTTTTCCATGGGAATGTGAAGGGGTGGGAACAAGAGGTCCCACTTAGGAAACATTCGAAACCAACCTCGAATAGCTACAGAGCAGGGCAATCCTCAGCCTGTACATTAATCTCTATAAAAATGAGGAATTTTGACAGCCTAATCTAGTGCAGGCCTCACATTCCTTGCATGGAGTGGGCAGGTCCCCACCTCTCTCTAAGGACCTGTAGATAATGTTTGCTGGGTAAGCAGGGGTGTCCAGTTCTTTGGGGACATAACCACTGGTAGGTAGCCCATGAACTTGTAAGTAACTGTAATGAAATTCATGGGGTTAAAAAAATGAGAAGGAAAGGAACTGAGAAAGAACCTTGAGTGAGAGGACCAGGAAGGCCGAAGAGCTTTTGTGTTTGAGCAACTGCTTTGCCTGCCCATTGAACTTCTGGAAACAGAGTCACGAGTCTCATAGAGAGGTCACCATTTACAATCATTTCTGTGTCAAGGCTCTAAGAGGGAGCATGTGGCAGGGGAAGATCCAATTCTTGGCTGCAGCCTGGAATCGTAGTGTGTGCACAAATGGATTTATACAAGTAAGCGTCTGGTATTTGCTTGATTAGCAAAAGTTTGTTCCAGACAAAGCAAGGCTAAATGAGGTATGTGTCTTATATAAATTATTAAGGAAGTACAAGGCTGTGTTTCAATGCATTCTCTTCTGCCATGTGTCTGTTTTGATGCATTAGCCTGATTTTACCTTGACCCAGCAGGTGACTCATTGCAGTCTGTGTGTTTTTTCCCTCGCTGTGGATACCATGCACAGAAGATCTGAGTTTAAAAGCAAAATTCTTGCTTTCTTGTAATCACTTTTCCTATTACTCCTCATACCCTATGTCAAGCATACTGACATGGGGGCCTCGTCTAGTCTAGGACACAGAAGAGGCATTCCAGCTACCTTTTCATGTGAAGGTACGCAGAAACAAGGAGAGGAGAGGGACTAATCCTGTCTTAACCTCTGAACTAGTACAGGAGTAAGCAGGATGTGTGTGCTGCGTGAGCCAACAAGATGTTTGCATGCTGCTCTATTGTTTACAGAAGCAGTTAAATAGTTATTAAGCTTTTATTGCATGTTGGGTTCTGCAAACATGATGGCAGAAATATCAAAGAAACGCAAGATTGTCCTTACCCTAAGAAATGGCCATCTATGTGGAAAGATAATACTAGCACATATGATCAGTCAGTTAGAGAGCAATTAAGCTCTCATGTCTTCAGCTACTGAGCATAGGTCTGCCTTGGCTGAAGAAACTAGTGCTCAACCACCAAGAACCAGCTATTCAATAAGCCACCCAGGAGGGAAGTTGTTGGAGCCCATCTAGGTTTCCTGGTGGCTTTATCCAGCAGGTCTGCATAAAGAGGATGATTGGACCACGAGCCTGGGTACCAGGTGTTTGGAAGGCTCTAGAATTGGTTGTATTGAGCAAGGGGGCTCGTTCCACCCCTTAGCGTTGTCATAAAAAGCCCTTTGGAATAAAGTTCTGGGCTGGTGGATAAGGATCCAGGCCCACCAGAGGCTATCCTGTGTTTCTCTGTTTCTCTCCCCTCTTTATTTCTTTCAAGTCTCTTATCCCTCATACCTCAAGAGTCCCTGGGGTAAATAAACGTGGGGGCTGGTCTCCCACAGGAAGTGTGTCCGGGTCCCATCATGTTTCCCTAGCATTAAGATGACACTTATTAGAGTAAGTTACACCATCAGCTGTTGCAAGATATTTGATCGCACTGTGAAACCTGAGACTGTGTTAATGAAGTCTGCGTTTGTTGTGTCTGTGCCTGTCCATCCCCTCCCCCACCCTCCCATTCCCTACCCCCTGGCCCCCACCCTTTCACTTGCCTCCACTGCCCTGAAGTCAGCACCCTGCCACTCAGACCTCAAAGCCTGGCAGGATTTCCAGTCGCATCCGCCCTGGCCCTGCTGTGTTGGGGTGAAAACCTGCTGGCTTAGAGAGGCCAAGAAACCACCAGCTGACCTTCCTTTTTGGGCGGAGACCCAGCAAAAGCGCATCTCTCCAGTCATCCCAAACCCAAAAGACACAAAACTCCAAGTCCCTCCCCATTCTTCCTGTGCATCTTTCTACCCATCTTCCTGCCCCTCGGAAATGGGCAGGCTGTTCGTATCCCCTCTCTGGGCCACACTTTTTCAAATAGGAATAAACAGAGTAGTGGCCATGCTCCTGGTATCCTATATGGAGCTCTTCCTCCAGCCCTTTCCCTTCCCTCATCCAGCTCAGAAAGGAGTCCATCAAAAGTGCTGAAGGAACAGAATACTATTTAAAGCTGCCATTTACATAGCACATAAATGCGTGCGATAGACCATTCTAAGCAGACTATACAAATTAACTCAAAATACCCTGGAGAGGCTTCTAACTACAATTAGCGCCATTTCTTAAACAGAGCTTAATGATGGAGACTTAGCAACTTGTCCAAGGTTGCTACCAGTTACTAGAAGAACTGGGGCTTGATCCCAGATCCCGGACTACAGAATTTGCACACTCAGACACTCCCTCTCTGTCTTAGGAGTCTCCAGCTCAGGCCCCATGCCAAGCCCTACCCAGATGTTCAGCTGGGGGCTCCGCCCACTCCTCCCATTCCAGACCCTGCCCAAATAAAGCCAGCCCAGCAGTGGCTCCTCTCCCAGAGGGGATTTAAAGCCCTCTCTTTGGGTGCTGCCTAGTCACTTCCCCTCTTTCCTGAGACCACCCGGGAATGCTTTGCTCAGATTAAACCTGGACTTTAATTCAGCTTGATTGGCTATTGCATCAGGGGAGTCAGTTACCTACACACTTGGGGGAGTTTCATAATACTTATCACTTTGTTCTTTACTGCCCTGCCTTGGGCACCGGCTCAGAAATTATCCACGCTCCTCCAGGCAAAGTGTTAATAAATAAATACATAAAAGTCTTTGGGATACTGGTTCAAGTTGGGACCTATCGTACAAAAGCACTTTCCTGGGTTTAGTTTTCCCAATTAGCTTAAACATAGTTCTCTCAAGGTCAGAGATGCCCACCATCAAGCCTCAGAACCTGAGTCTGAGCTCTGTGACTCACAGAGTTGAGGGAGAGAACAGGCGCCCCTAAGTTGTCCTCTGACCTCCACATGCATGCTGTAATATGCGTGTGTACCCCCCACCCCTCCACACACACTTACACGGGAGAGAAAGACAGGAAAGACAGAGACAGAGAATTTTTGAGCCCAGTTTCCTCACGCCTCAAATGGCATCCACTTGGAAATCAACCCTGACTAACACCTCAATGTGTATGCATATATCCTGCCGTTCTTACAGGAGTAGGAAGTTATAATGGGAATTGGAAATGGCTGGAATGGGGGTATTATACAGAAAGGACAAAACCCAGCAGGGCTCTAAAGTCAGGACTGATGGAAGGCAGTGGAGACCAGAGAGCCAATAATGAAGCCCACACAGAGGGAAAGGTAGCAAAATGACACAGCAAACACTGTTTCCTCTGTTTGATGGTGGCCCTACTCTTAGGATGTAACAACCGACCCTGGGCTTAAAAAAAAAAAAAAAAAAAAAAAAAAAAAAAAAAAGAGTCTTATCTTTACCTGCCCTCAAAATGCATCTCCCTTCCCAAGACCAACCTGATAAAAGCCTGAGAGAGAGTTCACAGTTTCGGCGAATATAAACGGGAAGATCTCAAGGGCTTTCCACCTGTGGACGATCTGGTTATCAGAGCAATTCATTCTGTGGCAGACACTGCAGGATTGACTGTTCAGCACTCGTAACACGGAATAAAGGGTTTCTGTTTGCACAGAAGACCATGGCAACCGACAATCGCATCCCAATAGAATGCTGTGTTGTTGTTGTTGTTGTTGTTTTTTATCTAATACAGAGTTGAGAGAATCAGAAATTCTCCTGAGAGCCTGTGAAGTAGAGATGCTTTCTCCTGGCTGGTCCTGTGGAAGGCAGGGAGAAAAAGCTGGGCTGTAAGAGCCTCAGGGTGGCGGGTTTGCAGGGGAGACATGAAAGGAGTCTCGTGCTCGGTGGGGGAAAAGGAAAGATGACCGGCTCGACCATTCATGTCCGCGCAGCAATGCACACCGCTAGGGCCAGGGGAGCCACTGGCTGTGCCCCACTGTTGTTTCTCCTCCTAAGAGGAGTAGAGTGACCTTTTACAACCCCTCGCTTCCCTCCGGTGGCCTCATCCCTCCCGCTGCTGTCCAACCGGCCAGCACTGGCACTCAGTTGCCCTCATAGAGCCGTGACATGAGCAGTGGGACTCCTCGGCTGATGTCAGAAAGCCACTTGGCTGCCGCCCCCACCTGGTTATTTATTTGAACCCTCTCTTTAGGGCTGATCTGAAAGCTAAAAGGGACCGCACGGCTCTCAGTCACCCGCGGATAACGTGAAGACTTCCGGCAACGTCCTGTCACTAAAAATGACTGTCGGTCAGTGATGGGAATGACCTGCCTGGTGCGATAGTTAAAAGTGCAGTCTTCAGGGCCTGAGAGCATGGGTAACCCGGTGGTAAAATGTATGCTTAGCATGCAGGGGGCTCGGGGTTCTGTTCCCAGCACTCCTAGGACCAACACACACACACACACACACACACGTACACACATATATATGTATGCATGTATATTGTAATATATAATACATATAATTATATACAATTATATATTGTAATATATAATAAAATATATATGCATACACACATATATAGTAATATTATTATATGTATACATATATATGTCTCTGTTTGTGTGGGGTGTGTGTGTGTGTGTGTGTGTAGATATACAATTAACCAGATCACAAGGCCTTACTGGTCTGAGAGCACTCAGTGCTTTCAGAAATCACCAAACAAAACTATTCCTTCCAACAAGAGTTGTTGGGAACAATTATAAGAGGAAGTGGGATTTTAATTTGAACATAAAGACTCCATCATAATAACAACTCAATCTAATATTTTAGATGTGTACTATTAAGTCCCTACCACAACCTTATGAGGTAGATATGGTTACTATATGGTTACTATATGACTTTTTTTAAAAAAAACATCAAAGAGAACAATATTAACTAACTTATCCAAATGCACATACATGGGAAAAGAAACAACAGGAATTCAAAAGCAACACTGTCTAGTCCAGTTCCCACCCTGGGGGAGACATCCCAGAATGGGAGACATTTGGACAACTTCATGAACCAGGGATCAAGGGGAGGGCAGACTGAGGACTATCCACTGAAGAGGATAATTTCATGAAGAGTTCTATTAGGAAAGCAATTACCTCCAGTTCTAAGTAGCTGTTAGGAAGGGCACACCGTGCAGATACTTCTCCATTAGCATTTGCTCACTTTCAAGTGCTAATAACACAGTGTATTGTTATTATACTCGTACCTGTCTCCTCTCTCTCTCTCTCTCTATCTCTATCTCTATCTGTGTGTGTGTGTGTGTGTGTGTGTGTGTGTATGTGTACTTAGTATGTGTGTGGGTGCAAATGCACACATATGCATACAGAGACCAGAGGACAACCTTGGGTGTCACCCCTCAGGTGTGTTCATCTTGTTTTGATTTTGGGGTTCTTTTTTTGTTGTTTGGTTTTGTTGTTGTTTTGCTTTTGTTTTATAACAGCGTCTCTCACTGATCTGGAACATGGCAATTAACGTGAGCTCCAGGGATCCATCTCCTCAGTACTGGGATCACAAGTGCATGCCACCACTGTAGCAGGAATCTTAAAAGTTCTTATTAATAAAACCAAACCTGTGTGTAGCTTGAGTTTTCCTGCCTTGCCCACAGTCAGGACAAATCTTTGTCACCTGCCAGTCCCATAGCCGCTCAGACCCAACCAAGTAAACACAGAGACTTATATTGCTTACAAACTGTATGGCCGTGGCAGGTTTCTTGCTAACTGTGCTTATAGCTTAAATTAATCCATTTCCTTAAGTCTATACCTTGCCTTGTGGCTTACTGGCATCTTTTCACGCTGCTTGTCATGGTGGCGGCTGGCAGTGACTCCTTCTGCCTTCCTGTTCTTTTATTGCTCCTCTCTGTTAGTCCCGCCTATACTTCCTGCCTAGCCACTGGCCAGTCAGTGTTTTATTTATTGACCAATCAGAGTAATTTGCCATACAGACCATCCCCCAGCACAGCCAAGTGCAGACCATCTCAGACACCTGCACTCAGGCCCATGGTCCTAATCATCCTCTATATGCAGACCTGCTGGGTAAAGCCATGAGGAACCCGAGAACGGGCTCCCACAGGACATACAGAACATCCCACAGAACCTGTGGCCAGTTATTGGGGTGAATGCTGGAAGATCAGAGAGACAGAACAAGCCACAGCTAACCTCACCTCGCCAGTTCCTCAGCTGATCCTGTTTCCTCAGACTGGAAGCTTCTGTGTCCTCATCCCAATGGCTCTCAGCTGAACTGCTGCTAGAAAGCCTGAAGCTTAACCAGGCAAAAGCTTCTCGTTTCTGGCCCTCACGCCTTATATACCTTTCTGCTTTCTACCATCACTCCCTGGGATTAAAGGCTCGCTTTTTGGGATTAAAGGCATGAGTCACCATGCTTGGCTGTATCCTTGAACAGATGGATTTCTGCCTCTGGAACGCTAGGATTAAAGGTGTGAATGCCACCATTTTCTGGCCTCTGTATCTAGTGGCTGTTCTGTCTCTGACCCCAGATAAGTTTATTAGGGTACACAATATTTTGGAGAACACAATACCACCACACTACCACGCCTGGCTTTTTTATGAGTGTTCTGGGGATTGAACTCAGGTATAGTTGTTTGTTTTTGTTTTTGTTTTTTAACCTTTGCTCTTTGTGGGGTCCACCACCCAGTTCCCAAATAAATACACAGAGACTTATTCTTACTTATGAATGCCCGGTCTTAGCTTGACTTGTTTCTAGCCAGCTTTTCTGACTTAAATTATCCCATCTACCTTTTGCTTCCAGGCTTTTACCTTTCTCTATTCTATATACCTCTCTTTTTAACTTTTACTATACAGCAGGCTGTGTGGCTGGGTATCTGGGTGTCTGGGTGGCTGGCCCCTGGCATCATCCTCCTCCTTCTTTTCTCACTCCTCTGTCTTCTCTCTTATTTATTCTCCCTGCCTGCCAGCCCTGCCTATTTCTCTCTCCTGCCTAACTATTGACCATTTAGCTCTTTATTCGACCAATCAGGTGTTTTAGACAGGCGAAGTAACACAGCTTCACAGAGTTAAACAAATGCAACATAAAAGAATGCAACACATCTTTGCATCATTAAACAAGTATTCCACAGCATAAAAGAATGTAACACATCTTGAACCAATATTCCACAACACTCAGGTCCTCATGCTTACATGCCAAACACTTTACCAATGGAGCCATTTTCTCAGCCCTCTTCATTTCTTTATTATGGCAGCAGGATTTAACCAGACAATTTGCATACAATGGGATCTCCATCTGTGTAGTCCTGTGGTTTGGTCCTGGGGCAGCTGTCCTTTTTTCACAATTCAGATAAATAAAAATGCCAATCAAAAGTCTCTAGGAGTTGGGATAGAAAGATGGCTCTGTGGTTAACAGCACTTGCTGCTCTTGCAGAGGACCCTGGTTTGGTTCCCCAGCACCCAAGTGTGGCTTACAACCACCTGTAACTCCAGCTCCAGGGGATCTGATGTCCTCTTCTGACTTCCGAGGGCACCAGGAATGCACATGGTGCACATTATGTACATGCAAGCATTTACACAGATGTCAAAGTAAAAAGAAAAAAGCCCCTGGAAGAGAGACTTGAGGAAACATAGTCAATTATAGGAAGTAAAATATGGGATGACCTGAAGGATCAATCTGTCAAAACAATAGGAAGACGATCTGATTAAAGAGAGAATCACTTGCAGTTCTCAGTCATGTCTTTGGAAGTGTGCTATAAACTGTCTTGTAGCCACAAGGATGACCTTTTATTTAAAGAAAATTTACCTTGTTATTTATTGCTATTTTTGGGTGATTTATAGTAATGCCCTCACAATTGACGGCGAGTCATCTTTCTTGAATGAAAAGGTCATTGTAGAAATGAGAGATCAAAGGCGGCTCATGTATGTCTGTCAATACTGCCAGCACTCTGGTTTTGCTTATGCCGCCCTTTTCTAGGAAATCCTGGGTTTTGTTTCTTTGTTTGTTTTTAAATTAATATTCTTATTTGTATTTTTATTTGGTTTTCTTGAGATTTTTTTTAATTAAGAAAATTTTTTTCATTCATCTTACACACCAATCAAAGATTCTCCCACTTCCCTCCTCCCGTCTCCCCAGACTGCCCCCAACCCACTCTCCACTTCCCCCCACAAGAAGGCAAGGGGCTCCCATGGGGAGGCACATCCAGTAGAGGCAAGTCCAAGCCCTTCCCCTGCCTCGAGGCTGCACGAGTTGTCCCATCATAGGTAGTGGGCTCCACCACAGAGCTTTTCTCCGGTGACTGATAGAAGCAGATGCAGAGATCCACAACCAATCACCAGGGAAGCCTGTTTCACAGCAAGGTTTTTGAAGTCTATAATGATGAAAGGGTCTAGAACCCGAGTTTGACAACACCTTCTTCAGCACATGTTTAAATCTGAATCTTTCGATTGCAAGCTGAAAGAAGGGAACACAGATGGCAAAGACAGCCCAGCGAACACCTACTTTATTAGGCTGCCATCTGTAGTGTTAAATAAAGACTAGGTGGGGTCATCATTTGGGACCACTTTCCTACTCCAAGACCCCGCAAAACAGATAGAATGGAGTCACTCGTATACCACATAATTAAACTGAACTTTAAAGCAGGACCACTTTAAAGCCAGAGAGTCCGGTCTACTATAGTTATAGCGATAAAAAGGGTCCCTTTGCTTTCACCCTATAAGGAAAGTAATTTTGAGAGAAATTAATCATTTGGGGGTATTTCATGTCTACTTTACCCCTTTTCTATCAAGCCAGTAGTCTCTATTCGGCTTTCCATTCCCTTACTGTAGAAGTACAAAGCCAATTCAATCTCTACAGTGTGCGCAGATGTCATCTTTGACATTGGGATGTATCTACATGGCGGTGCACTCAACTCATTTGGGTAGAGAAAACGACATGAGCTTTTTTACTTGCGTATCTGCAAATGTCATTGTTTTCCTTGCATTTTCTAGCTCTAGTGACGGTGTGCGTTATAGCATGTCTATTGACTGCCAAATATAACACGTTCAGAAAAGAAGCCCCAAAGGCCGGAGACTGAAGTTCGAGACTGTGACATGGCAGCTATAACGAAGCAGATAACACTGAATCGGGACCTTGTAGTAGAAGCTGTTCCCCATGGTCCCTTCCTCTGCGTCCTTGGCTGTTTTCTAAGCTC